GCCCAGGGTCGCGGCTTTTATGTCCATGCTTTTAAGTCCTTGCAGAGCGTTGTATAATGTTGTCAGCAAAAGAAGTAACGCACAGATGGCTTGGTCTTGATCATTATCCCCAGACGAGTCAGTGACCGCTTGTCCTTCTGCTTGTCCCTATTGCAATAAGTCTCTGAGTCGGAAGTTTGTAAGCCTGTTGCAGGTAGAACATTTGGTGGCATCGTTTGAATAAGAGCACTTTATCATAGAGTTCATATAGAAAGAATTGGTCAAAAGTTAGTTATTGTTTGAAAAATAAACATTTAGTTTCTTTTTACGATATCTTAACAAAACTTAGGATTTATTTTTTTTTTTTAACACAAGCAAGATCCTTTAAACATCGGATTACTGTGCTTTGGAAAGAGTCGGTTAATAATTGTACGAAATTTAATTAAAATTAACGACAACTTTTGTAAACATTTTGTTGTTGAGCATAGCTCAGACCTTATAAGAGACACATACATCATATCTTGTATGTAGACTCTTGTAGATTATGTAGACTTTTCACTTTTCGGATGACTCCTCGACTTTCAGCTGGGGTATAGCCTTGGGCTTTGGTATTTAGACTCATTGATTGATTGATGCCTTATTTAGGTCCTGTGAATTTCAAAAAGAATTAAAAATAAGCTCCGAGGGAAGTATAAGCACCGCCGCAGCAAGCGACTGGGTCAGGGTATCTTCTAGTCGGGCACTCCAGACAACAGCACTTTTAATTGTTTTATTTTTATATTTCTAATAGAGTTCGGCACTTGCCGTACATGCGTTGCATACTTTGGAGCGCTCCTGCTGCGCATCTGTGCCCTGTTGCACTATGTTCACGATTTTCTGTTTGTGTTGTCAATTAAAAACACTTTTATCTGCAACAATGTTTAGCGAGTCTGTACGGCTGAGCGGGACGCATTGAAGCTCAGACTTTCAGCTCGGGATTCGCAACTCGCTGTTCGCAGCGATTGGCGCAGTTGGTCCTGCGGTTTAATGGGTCGCCATGTGTGGGCGTAGCCTGCACTTAAATACTAACACATACATGCGCTTAGTTTAGTGTAGTTAATTTTTATGTGCTTATGTTTGCCTTTAATTTGTAGAGCGTTTTAAAGTCTAGTCTTCAACAATATGTTGAAGAGCATACAAATTTGTGACGCTGAACAAAAAAATAGAAAAAAAACGGAATATTATTTTAATGATTGCGGTGACACTTAATCGGAGCTTAACTATCAAAGCGAGCCAATTTCAACGCAGTGCAAATTAATTTAAATTAACTAATCTAATAAATAGAAATATTTAAGCTGCTCAATATTTATTCAATTAAAAGTAATCAGCCTTTGGTTCGATAGGTAGAGCTATATAAAGGCATTCTATCATCTCAATGGAAATAGGGCGGGTCTAATATAAAGCAGAAATTGCTAACTTAATTCAATTTGGTTGCTGGTAATCAAATCTATTTGTTCCGGCAACATGCGTGCATAATTAAATATGAATTTTTAATTGAATTTACGCATTTATTTTATTGCCATTTATACTGATTATGGGAAATGAACAAAAATGCTGGTAGCATTGACATAAACCGACAACAAAGTGAATATTTAAATGGCAACCTAATTTTTGTGCAGAGTTCGCGTTAAAATAAGCGCTGGAGAAATGTGAAATTCCCTCGATGAAAATGTGGGCCATTAGGCTTTGAACTACTTAGTTTTTGCTGAATGTGGTCTTTCTGTCCATTTCGGCTGTTTTTGAGGCAGGAAAAGAGTAAGAGGGAACGTTTAATGGACTATATTTGTGTGGTCGATGAACCACATGGAAATGCGAACCTATCAGGCGAGTCAATAAGAGACTGTCCCTCTCTCCAATCTTTTAAATAAATTCATTCCATGCTTTATTCTTTATTTCCTTTTTTGTTATATAGAGAAATTTTCTCTTTCAGATAAATACATTTTTTTGTAGGCTTTAAGCAAATCGATCAAACATTGAAGACTTTCGCTTTCAGTTTAAATACTTTTTTTTAAATGCTAATAACAACAACTTCCAACAGATTCTACAGTGCTTAGAGACTTTCTTTCCAAGCATTTGCTGCTGCATTTGATGTGCATTTGCATTTTTTTTAATAACTCTTCTGCTTGCAGGTTCGCATTCGCCCCTGTGCTCAAAATTACCATAAGCCGGACTGAGCACAGCTGGTGGCGCCAAAAGCGGCCCATAAAAAGCAGACAGCTGCCAGGCGAGGCAACATTTTTGTTTATGATTGTGCAGCACTTTTATGTTAAATCTACAAAAAGAGAAAAGCTCAAAGACAACAACGAACGAATAGCAAACAACTAAACGTGACACCTATCGCCCGGAGGCAACGACGACAACAACGGCATCGGCATCGGCCACGGCACGTGCCAAGCTGTGAAGCTATCTGAAATATGTGCATTTTTCGCAGCTTCTCTGGGAATGCACGTTTGCATTTCAGTGCCGTGAAATGTAGCTACGGCCTCGACTGTCCAGTCCTGTACTGTACTGTACTGTCCTGTCATGTCCTGATCTGAGTGATTTAAATGCACTGGCGACTAACGGCCATTTGCATGCATAAGAATCAGAAATTATGACGCAATATTGTTGCTCAATCCTGATTACACTGCCGCTTCATTCAGCCATTGCAGCACATTGCAGATCCATTACCATCGTCCATGTCCATGCCCATGCCCATGTCCATGTCCATGTCCATACCCATTTTCATCAGCTTGAATGTCTCATTGGGTGATTTGCATGGAAATGATATGCAATTCAGCTTTGCCTTTTTGTCTGTCTGCTTTGTTTGCGTTGGCTTTTCCAGATGCTATTTATCTGGCAGCTTTTGGCTTTTGTCTAAGCTGCATATTTGATGCACATCTTCATTTCCCACTCTCACTGCCCCTCACAGCTCATTTAAAATCCATAGCTCAGCACAACTGTTGCTAACCACTCGTTCTTGTCAGCAATTCTGTCTCAATTTGTCCTCATATTTTGCCGACTCTAAGCTTTTATTAATAACTTATGATTTTCAACAAGTTTGCAAGTTTGCCTCAATCGATTGCTAAAAATGTGTGCTCATAAAGTAACACAAAGAGTAGCTTCATGAAATACCCCATCCAGCAAAATATATTTTTAAAATTATTTGAATGAGAGCTATACTATATATTATATATAATATATATACATTTTAATTAATATACCAATTGATTCATTTATTGTAAGTGTAAGTTTTTAGTTGCGACTATTTGACTTTATGGCAGTTGCCCAATTAGAATTCGAACTTTGACTTTCTTATAAATTCTGTAATAAATTTTGTGCACTTTGGCGTACATTTTAAATTAAGTGCGAATAGTTGTTGCACCAATAACCACAACAGCAAATTCTCTTACAGTTGCCATAGAAAGTAATTTCATACTGTTGCTGACTTTTATCATGCAATTTTGTTCAAACATATTTGGGGTAAGTCTCTCTCTTTCCCGCACGCCCTTTAGTTTCAGCCTTAGCCTTAGTCTGGTTGCCGTTTTCGTCCCGGACTTGCATCTGTCCTTTGATGAACTTTTCGTTAGAAAATTGTAAAATTCAGAGAGCAAAATGCCTGGCGGTCAGCATGGGTAAGCGTCTGCATTTAGTTTTGAGTCGGAACAAGTTGGTTGCAAGCTCTAGTTAATTAATGCACGAAGGTAATTTTCATCACTTGATGCGAAAGTTATTACCGCAAAACTAAGAGCTATAACAATTTCAGAAGCTCTTTTCTTTCATTATAAAATATTCAACAACCAGGAATTTCAAGTATATATTTTGATATCACCTTAATAAAAAGCCTAGTGGAAGCCTTCATTTTACGTTCTTGGTGCGAATGACAAAAATAATTTGTCATATTACGATATTTGTCATATCTAGTAACTCTTTAATCAAAGTTTGGATGCGTTACGATTTATTAGTCCTTTGAATGATTTTAGTTTATCATTAAAGAAAAAAAAAAACTAAAAAAACTAAGTATTACTTAAGAGTTGGCTCTAGCATTAAAAAAATTCTTTAAATCATCCTTTTTAAACATTTAATAAAGTCGAGTTTTTTCATTGTAACTTTAACGTCAATTTTCCACTCATTTCTCACGCATGAGAAAATAATGGATACATTTAAGAAATACATAAGTTTAAAAATGATTGAATCAAAATTTAACTTACAACCCCTAACACCCATTTTCCCGCAAGAGGCGGTGTGAATTTTAGGAAAAGGGCCTTATATACCTTAAATGAATATTTACATAGATCAAAGAAGAAGTGTTTAAAGCGGATCGCACAGAAAACATTAGAGAATCATATGAGTTTCTGCGCATTTTCTGACCTTCAGGTGAACTGCCAAAAATAACGAAGCCAAAATCACTTTTCACAATGACCTTGGAAAATTAATATTAGTCCGATCGGATGCATATGAATGAGTTAAATATGAACATTTTCCCCGAGTTGTCCAAAAAACTACAGTACAGATTTCAGCTTCCTAGTCCTTACGGTTTGGGCTGTGTCTTGATCCCCAAAAAGTCGGTTCTGTATATTTGGATTTAACTAGATATTAATATTTGCCTAGTTTGGTAATAGATACTGATAATAACGTAGGCTTGTACATTTCTTTGCTTTCTTTTTTTGTTGGGACAAATTTGACTATTTGCTAAATTAAAATATTCACTCATGAAAAAAAACACATGAATTCAATTTTACCTTCAATATCAATTCTATAGAAATGCATAGCATACATTTTGGGGCAGAATATAATAAGATAAAATACTTTATCTTCAGACGACCGATGCTTGGTTAAATTTTTACTATTTTTTAGTGCTTTGTATTAAATTGTAGATATAAGAAATTCTCAGAAATAGCCACAATTTTCAATCATTTTCATCAAAATTAAGATATTAAAAAGGAAAAGGAGACAATAATAAATATTCTATATACATAAGTATTCTATAAACATATACATACTTTCATCTGCGGACATGGCCAAAAAACGACGGTCTTGTTGTAATCGTGAGCAAGCTGGTCGGCCAGCTGCTGACAGTGGGCCACGCTGCGGGTAGTTGAGTGCTCCTCCTGCGGCTCGTCCTTTCGCTGTTGTTTTTGATGTTTCCTATGTTGGGTCTCTGGTGTGGATGATGATAAAGAGTCTGCTGACAACGGTTTCATTTGGGCTCGCTGCTGACGCGACTGCTTTGTTGGGTCAACTCCAGCATTATCAAGGTCCACCTCGGTGTCTACATTAATGCCCGCATTTAAAGTCTTTACAATGCTCGTGTATTTGGGTAGCTCGAGTAATTTAATGAAGCCACTTAAATCTGTGCTTCAGCAGCGCCATCATCGGGGCAAAGAAAGAACCAGACGAAAGAAACAGAAACATTTTATATAGCATATAAAAACGGTTGCATATTTAAGCCAGTTGTGTGTGTGTGTTTGTGTGTGCATGTGAGTTCGTGTTGGTGTGTTTGTGTGTGAACTTGTACTCAAGAAGTGTTGTAAATGTATCTGCTGATGAAGGCAGTGGTCTTAAAGTATGTATACAACGCATGTCTGCAGCTCTTTCGGACTGATTTTAGGGCTTTCCACAGTGCCTGCTAACTGTAGCTGGCAACTGATGTGAGTTGTTAAAACTGCCAAAATTTACATGTTGCTATGTAGCTCTATAAAACGCATCTGCTTGAAACCTGTATGCAGCTGCTTTATGGTGATGACACTTGGAAGTCTGGTTGAGCTGCCATTTACCATAAAGAAATCATTTTATTTCCATTTAAGTTCATAAGCATTTGTGTAAAGGAATTTATATTATTTTACACATTCTAGTTCGAATAATCAAAACTACTTAACTCGATGTCAAGCAGATTTAGCAGCAATATAATTTAAATAAATTAAGTGTAACCCCTCTTTCTTTCATTCTGCAAATTAAATTATTTTATTTCGTTATAGAATATTCAGAATTTTCTTATTTAATCCCTTTATCCTTTAGAAAATAACTTTGCTTCTCAATGCAGTAGCTTTCCACTGCACTCCAGCATAGCTACAACAAAATAAACTGTGCATATACATGTTTTCCATTTGCATACCGCGTGTCCGTTAGAAAAGGGTATACTGAACTAACGCCTATGTATGTCGCCGGCAGCTGAAGACATCCTCGACCCCATAAGGTTGCCCGATCCATGCTTTTTCTAGATCGGAATTTGTTTTGCATTTGTAATAAACTTTTGTATACCACAAAAAAGTAAGAGTTTGCCCAGTCAGAACTATGAACAGGGTATCATCTGTTTTCAAGCAGCCTTGACTTTTGTAATTTTACTGATTTTCAAGTTCTTATAAAATCTATTCAATTCCTGGTAAATGATAAGGCAGAGTTAACCAAGTCAGCAAGTATACTAAGTTTATTTTTTCTCCGGCACAGTATCCACCTATTAATTTGTCGCCTTTCCTGCACTGGAGGCGATCCAGGGAAATACAATTTATGCATTTGTCCGGCCTTTTGTGCCACCACAAATGCTGAGAATCCTGGCCAAGCCGCGTGGGCATAAACTATGAATTTACTGGGCAAGTCAGGGAAATGCAGGACAATAGTGTTTTCTCTTGCTGTGCTCATGCGGCCAGGTCGTAAATTGCGGCAAATGGAAGGGGAGAAACTAACTGCAACATATGCAACAAAATTCAATTTCAATATTTTTCAGCATAAAAACATGGCAGACTGCAAAAAGAAATTACGGAAAATGGAATTTATTTTGCATGTGGACAACAGAACTAAGATGAGAGAGGAATAGATTAAAAGGGCAGCGTTGCGAGCTTGGCTTGGAAATAGAATTTCTCTGTTTTGTGCTAAAATCAATAACTGCGTTTGAACTGAATTTATATGATTCGAATCTTGAATGAACAGGTAAAACATTAAATTCTCCGAAAATACCATTATTTATAGGAACAAACGATATATATTTTATATTAAAGTAATCAAATTTAAACTGTCGACCGGATAAAAAAATATTGCGGCAATTGGCAAGTTTTCTTACAGCCAACTAAAAGGTTCCTTTCCCCCATGTCTCGTCCTCCATGTTTACTTTGAAACTAACTTCGAAAAAAAGCAAACTGAAAGAATAAAACAAGTAGTCGAACTGGCAGACAGATTCACATACAACCGGCGACTAAGAGAAAACTGCGATGGACCAAGTTAAGCGCTGGCCGCAAACTAAACTGTGAGTCTTTGGTTGGGGCGTGTCCCCTTCTGGCAAAACTGAAGCTTATCGCGATTTGTGCTTATTCATTAGCAGAAATAATCATTATGGCAAACATAAGTGCGCATAAGTAATCAATTTGGCTAACAAAAGTTGCTAAACTGCAGATGTTTCAAGCTTAACTTTAAAGTTTCCCCTTAATCGAAATAGCTGATATTGGGCAATTAAATTTTGAAATATGAATAGAATTTTGTAAGAGATAAACAATTACAAATTATTGTTAAATAAACTTTAAAGAGTGAATGAAATATTGTAAAAGATAAACAATTTCAAATTTTGAACAATAAATATAATATTGTAAGAGATAAACAATAACAAATAATTTTTAAATAAAATTTATAGAGTGAATAAAATATTGTAAAAGATAAACAATTACAAATTATTGTAAATATACTACAAAAATGTGATCATGTGCGCCTATTTAAATTTAAAGGATGTTTTTGTCATGTTGATTATCATTAATAGGTATAATGTCTAAGATAACTAGGTATTAATTATAGTAAATTATAGTTAATATACTATACAAATTTGTTTTATTGTGTAGGTAATTTATATGTATATTTAACTGTTTATGTTGACTGACTGATTAGTGAGAGAAATTATCTTTTTTATGACGTGTTCACTTACGTGAAAGTAGACTTTCGACCTATTCACGTAGATCTTAATATATTAAAAGCAGTTTTTCTTTTATCATCTTATACCCTGAAGCTTTAAAATGCAAAGGGAGGCATCCTTCTAACAAAGTACAATTCAGTATATGTTCTTGATTAGCCCCAACAGCCGAAATCATCAATAACTTGCCATGCAATTGATAAAAAACGATATTTTTTACTATATCTCAGAGCTTAAGCTGGACACACCAAATTTAGTATGTTGGCCTCTCGTATAGTATACATAGATCTAGTTTCCCTTGTTGTACAACCACTTTTTTTGACGTATAAACTGAGCCTAGGCAATATGCCCCGAAAATGTCATAAAGTTTGGACAACAAACACTGAAGTTATTTAAATATGCATTTCCCATTTCCCATGCGGCAAAGGACAAAAGAAGCACAGTCGCACTAAAAAGTTTGCAACTTGTGGCGTACATGTTTGTGTGTGCGCGTGTTTGTTGATCTATGTTTTTGGGAATCTATGTTAAGTTTTTTTTCCAAAGAATTTCAAACTTAGTTTCACAAAAAAAAAACGTTATTTATCGTATGTGGAAAATGGATGAAGCTCTTGCTTGAAAATCTTTACTTTTTTATCCGATCTGCTTGAAACGAATTTTTTATGTTCTATGCAAAAGTTTATTGATGGCGTGATTAAATGTTTGTAGATAATGCTCGCAAATAGAAATGTCATGGCATGAGTTGACATAACTTAATGTAGCAAAGGGGCATGGACATAAGTAAGGTTTTTGTGTAAATTGCCTTGTATAAAGTATATACATTCATGATCAGGACGACGAGTTTAGTGGGCCTAGTCCAGTCCGTCTTTCCGTGTAAATTTCAGAAAATACGAAGGCTAGAGACATGAAATACATATTTTCGTATCTCATACTTAGCACGACACAAATATCGATTTTGAGAATTTGTTAAGAATATATCACTGTTCCAATACCTCTCCCACTCCGCCCATTCCCCCTATCATCTTTGGTTGACACACACACATATGTGCTTATTAAGTTATTCCAGAAAGCATTTCACAAATATGTGGCTTAGGGAGGGAGAAGAGGGAGAAGCACTGCGCAGCAAGCAGCGTGTGTTTGCTTGTGAGTTTTTCTTGATGTTGCTAAAATATTTGGGACGGCCGATGAGCGCTGGGGTCAGGGTATCTCTTAGTCATGCGCTCCCGACCAGAGCACAGTTCGTTTTGTTTCTTGCTACCGGAAAAAGACAATTTTCAGAACAATCACCGAAAACCCAACCGAATCGCTTCACTCCTCCAGGCTGTATTGATGGAAAATAAAAGTAAAATCATTTTAAAAATAAAAATCTCATTTTGTGTAAGCAAAATTCTTCTTGACAAGCAATAATGATTCCTTATTCAGCCATTATTATAAAGGGCAACTACTTGATGTGCGGTTCGAACCATTTCATGTTTACTTGCCATTTTCTTAAATAAATATGTATTTAAAAGGGCGCGTGACGGGCGACAAAAATCCAACGAATTTTATTACAAAACAAATGTACCCTCAATTGGTGTCGTGTGTGTGCCACACACGTCGAATATTGCTCATTGCATCCAATCCAATTAGAAATTTATAATAATAATTTCCATTAGGAGTAGCCATTCGGGCCACGCTGTGCAGATCCAGTTGCTAGCATAATATATAACATGAAATCACGAAATACTGTTTGTCACTCTGAGCTTTGATAGCACAACTCACATACGAAATATGTAAATCAGGTCAGAATATCAAAAATGATGTATATAAATCAAATTTGTTAGAAACGTGTTTTCTCTAATGTATGCACCATGTTTGGCACACTGTCCTGCTTGTAAATAAATTTCAAGCAGCTGACAACACAAGTAACATAAACTTTTCGCCCAGTCCTAGCCAAGTTCCTTTCCATTGAATGTGGTCAGCATTAAGTGACTTCGTTATTCATTAAACCTCAATCGCTTGACTTCTGTCAAAAAATTTCTAAGAAATACTTGAGTAGTTATAGGAATGTAACTTGACAAATGACCACCTGCGAACTTAAAAATAGTTGGATTTACTTTTTAAGAGTCGTTGCTGATAAAAAAAAGCAAGAAATAACGATTTCTTTTGGTATGACGAAGATTAAATATCCTTGATGACATAAGGCTCAGAAGTACTTTTATATAAAAGCTTTATTTCCGATCAGGCAGAGTAGATCCCAGCACATAACTTTCGATTTGCATAAGAACAGCCTAAAAACGGAGCGACACGTTTGGATATAATGGTATAATGACAGACGGATATATCGACTCGGATCGAATACATAAGCTTTATGCGGTTGCAGGCGTCTCCCTTAAGGCGTTACATATTTCGTATTAAGCTGACAATGCCTTCTGCTAGGGTATAATAAAATACTCATAAGTCAGTTGCAGTCAGAAAGTTTTTGAGCGGAAATTGTAAGCTGTCACTTGCCGGGAAAAAATATTTGTGACATCAATGGTCGGCAGGGAGCCCAGGATGCAGGCGAGTCTTTATCGTGACATGCGTGCCTGTAATTGAAGGCAATGTAATTAATGTTGTAAGCACACAGGCAAACATTGAAAGTCGGCAAAGTACGCAGCATCTTTGTTGCGCTACTTGATGAAACGTGCACGCCAAAGGCATAAGGCGCAGAACGTGGCCAGAAACTTGCTCGCTGCGCCTTAATTAGTTTAAATAGCATAAAAAAATAACTTCTTTATCTTTTTTTTTTTTCGATTTGCAGTAGAGCAAAAGTCTGCGCATAATGCATGCAAATTGAGTTTGCACTGGGGACAATTTCCCACAAGCATGAAAGCAATGCAAAGGGTAGAGGGAACTTTGCTTGGATCTAGCGGGTGCTCTTGGCTTTTTGTATCTGATGAGTCGTAATATATGTTCCTTTTACTTTGTTCAACTGTTTTGAGAAAACTCGTGACATTTATAGCAAAACATGTTCTTGCACTTTAAGGGAGAGCACGCTGTTGTATGCAACTAGTGTTCTATTTGCAGTTGTTTTAAGCTGAGCTTTAACGAAAAGAAAAGGAAATTTATGGATATTGATTCGAAGAGAAACCGTTTATAGCACCGTTTTTATTTTCATGATTAAATTGGAATGTCTTAATTAAGAACAGGTTTGTAAGGCTGTATGACTGAAAGGCTGAGGTCAACTGGCCTATAAGTCCACGGTGTTACCTGGCTCAATTGAATAGCATCTGTCTATAAATTTATTTAGAAACTGTAAATAACGAACAAAGGCTTTTAAGGCCTCATTACCGTTAGGTAAGATACAACAAATTGACAGAGAGGTCGAGATGCTCAATTGAAGAGAATCTGTCGGCGAATATATATATTATACTCTTTAAAGAAGTTTTTGGTTTTGTGCACTGTCCGTCTTTCTGTCCATCCGTCTGTCTGTATGAACGGACAGACTTGAAAATTATAAATTGTACTCTTGAATACCAGCATCAGAAGAAGTGTGAATGGGTTCGTAACTAGTCGGGAAAATATATATGGAAGGGTATTCTGATTGAATCAAAAAACTTGTGTTCTTCTCAATTGGGTTAAATAGATCCAAAATATACAGAAGCCATAAATATTTCCCAACATTTGTTGCAGTTAGTTGCATATATCATCCCTTTTTCGACCAACCTTATTTTGCCAAGGCCTTTAAAGTCGCTATATCGATGGCGAGAAAAAATTGGTTTCAATTTTGAAGAGCAACTAGAACCACAAGAACCAGACAAACAAACCAAACGAGGGAAAGCTGCAATAAAAACAATATAAATCTGTGCGAGTAGGCGTGTGCTGTGTGTGTGTGTGCGTGTGTGTGTGTGTGTGCTGTGTGCAAGGGCTTGGTTTGCTAGTTGCGGTTGTTTACTCACCGACATCACGTAGAAAATCGACGCTGGCATTAGACAAATGCACTTGAAAAAACTCAACGAAATGCTGAAAGCCCTGTTGCACTTGCATCATATCAACGTCGACTGATGAAGGTATTAAAACTGCGACACGCTGAGCGGCCAAAGCTGCAGTGTTTGCTTCTTGCTGTTGTTGTTGTTGTTGTTGTTGTCTTTGTTGTTTTCCGCGGCGTTGACGTTGTTGCCCCTGTTGCTGCTGTTGCCCCAGTTGCTGCTGTTGCTGCTGTTGCCCCTGTTGCTGTTGTATTGCGGACATTTGCTTTTGACGTGCCTGACGATCAACTTCGCGCGCATTACGTTGTTGTTGTTGTTCTTGTTGCTGTTGTAGTTGTCTCTGCTGGCCTGTTGTTGTTGTAGTAGTTTTTGCTGTTGTTGCTGTGACCAAAATTGAATTGCTGCTAAGCGCTGCTGCGGCTGCTGCTGCTGTTGTCGTAGCTGTTGACGTTGCCGCGGTTGTTGCAGTCGCATTGGCCGTTGTCTTGGACACAATGTCAGCTGACGTTGTGGCCGGCTGGAATGGCGAGAGGGTTGGCGTCGAGCTGCTGCTGCTGCTGCTGCTGTTGGAGTAACCAGAGGTGAGGTTCGAGGCGAACGTGAAGGTGAAGGTGGATGAGGCGTTGTGGGAATTAAGAAAGAAGAAGGCTGTCAACAGCAGAAATAATTTAGCAATTTGACAAATTGTTAACTTCATTTATGTTGCGTGTTTTTCTTGTTGCTGTGGCGTTTGTTTTGTTTTTGTTACTAATAGTTCTTGTTGTCCCCTTAGTTGTGTTCGCAATTGTGTTGCCTTTAAGTTTGCTGCTGCAGTGCCCTGCTCGGACCCAGTTGGCGAGTCATCTCTTAGCCGTTTACATTTTGCTTTCGTTGCTCTTGCTGATTATTGTTGTTGCCAGTGATGCTGTTGCTGTTGTTGTTGTTATTATTATTCTGGTTGTTGTTAACGAACTTTGCTCGCGCTTTGTTCAATTTTGTCATAATTGCGTTTCTATTGCTGGCAAATTGCACTCGCCTGGAAATATAAAAGCAAAATAAAAGCTGAACAAAATGGAATGCATTTATCAGTTATCACATTGGGAATGTGCTTGTAATTTGTATGGATACCAAAATGTGAGGACGCAATATAAATTGGATTGGTATAGCTAAAAACATTCTATATACACAGTGTGGGAAATGTTGTCTTAATTAACTTGAATGATTGTATGTTGATCTTTATGAAATTTATATCTAAAGCCAAAGACTGTAGCACCCAGCACAAGAAAGTTTTGAATACCTTTTTTGAAAAAGAGAGTCATACAGAAAATAAATATAGCCTTAGGACCTAAACAGGCTTGGCGAAACATCACCTAAGCCAACTCAATACAATAAACATTTATAAAACAAAAAATATAAACAAAAAATATTCTTAAACTGCTGCTAGCTATAATAAGCTTCGAGATATGCTTGTACAACAATATATCAATATAGAATTTTTAAGTCCCTAGCTTCTATAGACTTCGAGTTCGACGGGTACATATATACATTCCTTACGGGGTCGGGAAAGCTCTCCTCTATTAGATTACTTGCAAAACACCAATATTCCCATTTAACCCTCTTTTAATGGGTTCAGTTATGAATAGATAAAGAAACTAGATATATGAGAGCACATCTTTAACCTGCAGAAAAATCAAAATTCTCCTACAGCTTAACGACTCATTTTCCCGCGCCGTTGTTATATATCCCGTTTCGTCAGCCAGTTCAGGAGTCACAGGAGCGCTTCCACAAATGTATTTTTTCATTAAAATTTGCGCACACAAATTAATTAAATTACAATTTCAAATTAGTTTAAAAGTTCAGATCGGATCCACACACTCGCACACACACAGACACTCACACAGACACTCACAGGGGAGTCTGTCGTGCACGCGCTTCCGCTTGCGTGCCGGCAGAGCGCATGCTTTGGCCACAGTTGTTGTTGTTTCTGCTGGCTGACAACATTTTCATGCACGTTTAAGCACTCACCCACACATAGACACACACACACACACGCACAGTCAGACAGGAAACTCGTAAGCGCAGACCCACACATACACACACGCATGCACATCCTCACTGAAATGCGAAGCTCTGCATAATTCAAGGCGCGAATTTGGCTCACAAGGCGCCCGTTGGCAGCTCCGGTTGGTGGCTTTATTTGTTGCTATATAAAGCGAATTGCCATAAAATTGATTGCGCCTAAATAAATATTTTGTGTATTTTTGTTGTTAACCCAAAGACACGCGTGTACTTCCCGCTCAACTCTTTGACTTTATATATGTTTGTTGCGCTTCGATTGCTCTGCATTGAAATACTCAGCGTCCATTAAGAATGGAGGTATATTATAATTTTGTGCACAATTATGTAATATTAAGGCAAAATCTTTGAGCTGCAGATAAGCAAAAAATCTTTTGAAATTCATATTTTAAAATTCTTCTTTAAAGATTGTTTCGAAGGACGCCCTAAAGTTATAAATTGATCACTTTGCTGCTTACTATCCCAATTGATAAGCGACCAATTTATAAGCAAACAGATTTAAGGAATATCTTAAAGTCAACTACAGTTGTCAGTTTTTCGCAATGCTTTGAATAAGTATATAACTGTCTGTATCTGCCATGCCCACTTTGCGCGTCCTAGGCCACCTTACATTTAAAGCGCAAAGTTCAGGCGGTTTTTGTCTATTATTAGAGCCGATTTTGCCATCACCTCACTCATAGCCCAGCTGTCTCTGTTTGTTTCTGCCTACTTCATGCTTGATTACCTGCGCAACGCATTCGTGCGGCAACATTTCAATTCATCAGCGATGGCGCCAATCTAAACTTTCATTTAGATATTAAATTTGGCTCTCCATTCGTCTCTCGTCTGTCGAATGGTGACTTATGCGCCCTACGCCCTATTGCCATCTTCATTCGATTGCCCGGAAATGATTGATCGTTGTGGCGCATTGCAAATGAGCCAAAGTAAATAATCTGCCCCCGAGGCTGGCACACAAATTGTCGCACAACGAGTATTCCCATGATTAGGGCCAACATGTGTTGTTATGTGCCCAATTGTCAAAAGTGTTAAGGTTAAACGGGGCCATTTGAAAGGAAAATCACGTTCTTGTTGGCATATAATATGTATACAAGAGGCTTGAAAGCATATTGCATGAAGCACATTGTAGATAAAGAATGTACAGATTTCATAATTTCACATCAATTGGATTGAGTTTCGATTTGGAATATTGTGAATATATGAATTTGAATTGTTAATCGATTGGTTATCAGCTTTTTGATGTATATCAGAATATTATATTTATAACATTTAATTTTCCATGATATGAGAAAGTTTTAACAGCAGAATAAGAAAATTGTTTAGATTAAAAAAAAACATAATATATATAATAATAAGTTAATGTTCTAATTGACGGAGCTTCGTTTATAAGCTTGAGGGTCGAAATGTAAGGCAAATAGATTTTAGTAACATTTTGAGATATTCCGTGGTCCCATGTCAACTCTCTAGTTGACCTTTAAGCCTTGTTTTAAATTCAGTCAAAATTTTAATAACTGTGCTGCGCCGAGGAAGAAGAAAAAGGGCATTTGCCATAGCCGCGAGCACCTAGTTACTCGGTTAAATGGAAAAGTAAAAGGATTTCCAAGAGTAAAATTGCTTTTAATTTTATAGGATTTTATGAGCAGCGTAATAAACTCGTAACTAGTGGACAGGATTGGGCCAAGGAGCAGTAACTACAGCAACAACAACAATTGCGTCCAATAGCCATAAACAACAACTTTGACGGCGCGTCGGGCCACACTTATATAAATAAACATATTAAAAACTTTCAAGGATGCGAGCATTAAAAGCAAAAAACAAAACAAGACAGCGCTGGTCGGGCATGCACGGCTATCAGGTACCCTGAACATTCTTCTAGCAACCGGCCTTTTTGTGCCCATTTTCCCCATTTCCAATGGGTATAATGAAGAAAATTACATGCACACAAATGCCCATGCTCACGGCAAGAAAATACACAAGTTACTTTTTTTTACCTATTTATGGGGTGGGGCATAAAACCACCATTTAAAAAAAACATATATATTAAAAATAATAATTTCTCCTTCTAGTTTTTAACTTGCTCTCATCAACCGCCCGACATACTTGTCAGCGCCTTATACCCTACCGCCACACTAACATTGGGATGCTTATGGACAAAAATTCAATTAATTTAACAGCACATGCATACATACATGCATCCATACTTACATACATATACACAATACAAAACGATACCAATGACAATTATATTAATATAATTCGTATAAGAACACACACGTTTTCGTTGATAATTTCTGTTTTTCTCAAAAGATCTCGTGTACATTTTTTACAGTCTTATCTTATTGTGCCATAGAATATGGCAACATTTCTAAAATTGCTGCTATAGTTGTAAAATATGATCTGTGTATACTATACAAGAAGCTGCATGCCAAATATGCTCAAATATATGATTTCGATATCTATTGTTATCGATTCCATGAAACCAGGGCAGGGTATCGATCACTTGAAATAAACTCAATCTGCGTGGGAACTTGGAGGACATACTTTTCAAATTTCATGACTCTAGTTGTTATTAGTTCTGAGATCATGGCGACATGGCTATATCATTTCGGCTCCTTGAAGCTGACCAATAATAAATATACTTTATGGCCGGAGATTATGTCTTGCGCCTGTTAAAAACATTTGCCCAAAACTAATATACCCTTTTAACCCCTTCTACAATGGGTTCTGTGTATAGAAACAAATACGAGTACGCAACCGGGGTTAACTGGGCAGGCTCCGAGCCTTTTTAGTGTACTTGATACTCTCCTCTCATTTACACTAACACACATACATGTATGCACACTTATGTCCACCTCATCGGCCTTTGGTAGGTTTTTAACACGCGCTCGCTGGCAGCTCTCTCTATTTATCGCCCATTCTCTATCCGGCGCCATATTTACGTTCATTTATTTTATTTAACTCAATTTTTTGCTTGTGCCTATTTATATACCCGCTCGCAAGATGAGAAGAGTTTATTGGGCTTGTGCAACATACGCCAGGCTGACCGTTTTGTCGTTCGGCGATAGGCCGAAGATATTGGTTAAGAGTTTATATCCACCTTAGTTGTTTCAAATCTTGCAAATCTATATAATCTATATAGTCTTAGAGGTAGGGCGACGAATTTTAGATTGAGGCATTGGATTAGCCCGTGCTAAGATCGATCTACAGATAGTTTGCTCACGCCCACTGTGGGTCGATACGACTTAATAAATTTGGCGGTTAGCTGGCTTAAAGCTTCTGTTGAAATGCGAACGTGTATTGCGCAGTCGTTTGGACTCGACTGCAACATTCTTACTAGCTTAGTTTGTGTTTTTGCGCTTGTGTAGCGATACATGCGTGCGGATTTACTCTTGCTTGACGGCTTCGGCCTCGTTGGCGTATACATAATATGGTTGGGAAGCGGCAGCTTGCTTGTAAATTTATAACCACTTGTTCTCTCGCTTATTTACATACATATTGACACACAGCAAACGGCAGTTAGTGTGGATGTAAGTGTTTGTGGGTCTATCTGGAGCATCTTTAATACGCAAGCGTATGCAGCGAGGCCTCACATGCTCGGGGTCTGAGTTCAGCAGCATCTTCAAAACTAACAATGTGTGGTAAGTGGTGGCCGGTGCCAGCAGATGCCACTCAGACCCGGTTTTATCAAGGGCCTGTTAGGTGTCTCTGAGTAGCCAAGTGGGGGAGTTGTCTGTGTCTCTCTGTGTGTGTGTGTTTTATTTGCCATATGGCATGCTATGAACGGCATAAAGATATGAGCGGTTTTTGTAAGCACTTCAGCTGCCGGATTAAGATCTCAAGAGTGGTTTCATATAGTTTATCGAGTCACTATCGTACATATGCTTGAGTGCACATGTCTAAAGTATATTTTTAAATTTAATTGGAGAGGATTGTAACGGAATTGTTTAAAGGGTATATCAATAT